TTGTATTACATGTCTGCACAATGATGTGACACAATAACTGATGAGTGTGAGTAGAATTAGTGCGCTGAAACAAATAATGATCTTTTGCTTGTATTTGTACACTTTTACTTTTATCCTCTTCACCACTGATCGGCTCGTTAGCCGCTTGGACGGTCGGTCACGTATCTGTTACGCACTGTTGGCAAGTACCGGGCATGCACCGGCTCCTGAATGTATCTGAACCTGCTCCAGTGTTGATCAAGTCTGGTCTTGAAAGAGCTCACACTCGGTGCCGCCACAACACTCTCTGGCAGATAATTCCAAGAGTTCATAACTCTCACTCCGAAAAGGATACCCCTCACAGTTTTCTGGGCTTGCGGCTTCTTCAACCTTGAGCTGTGACCCCCTGTGGGGCGAGCGTCCGCCAGCTCCAGACAAGGACACTCGACTGAGTAGTGCCCCTCGAGATGCTTATACACGTCAATTAGGTCGCCCCTTGCCCGTCTGTAGTATAAGCTAGGCAAGTTCAGGCGCTCCAATCTCTCAGGGTAGCTGAGGTGTCGTAGTGCAGGCACCAGTCTGGTGGCCCTCCTTTGGACATTTTCAATCAACTGACAGTCCCTAGTCTATCTCGAGGACCAGCCGGGGTGACAGTACTCCAGATAGGAAAGCACTTCACTCTTGAAGATCGTTACGAGGGACGGACCGTCTAGATATCTGAACGACCTTCTCATAAGACCTAATAATCTATTTGCCTGATTTACCTTCTTCTCGCAATGGCCCGAGAACTTCAGCTCATTGTCAACATACACACCTAGGTTCTTTTCACATTCAGTCTCAATTAATGCAGTTTTTTCATTCCTTTGGGACATATGATACGCCCCCTTATCGTTGGTATGTCCCAGGTGCATCCTCTTACACTTCGTGACATTGAATCTTAGCAGCCATTTCTTCGACCATTCTTGGAGCTCACAGCGATCCTTCTGCAGCTCTTCACAGTCTGCTTGGATCTTAATTTCTCGAAATAACTTGGTGTCATCAGCTAACATTTGCATGGAGGAGTGTACAACTTCAGGCATGTCATTTATGAAGCAAACAAACAACAGCGGGACCAATACACTGCCCTGTGGTAGCCTGCTTGTGACGGGTACAGATGATGATTTCGTGCCATTAACCACCACACACTGCTTGCGGTTATGTAGAAAGTCATCTATCCACACTGGGACATTTCCCCGAGTCTCATACCCTTCCAGTTTAATTTTCAGCCTTTTATGGGCTACACTGTCACGAGCCCCCTTTTTTTTTTACGGGGATTAATCCACCCGAGCACAGGTCACTGACGGACATCAGGGCCTGGGTGGCGAAAATATAATAATAATAATACTAATACTAATACTAATAATAATAATAATAATAATAATAATAATAATAATAATAAATAAAATAAAATTAATAATAACCATAAATAAATACAAAAACGAAAAAAACAGATCAAGAATGAGAAACGATATACAGTATGTATGTTGTGTTGTCAAAGTAAGAGAAACAACTGAAACTCTGCAATTGTATATATTGTCGATATTAACCTCTCTGTTCCAGAATATGGGTCCAAATATCCATTACCTTGAGCCATTTTCCAATCACTGGGGACCTTTTGTTCATCCAGGCATTTATAGAACAGGATCTTCAGGGGCTAGGTAAGCTCGTTTCACAACTCTCTTCGCGCTCTGGGATCCACTATGTCAGGACCGGGACTCTTATGAACTTTTAGCTTTGACAGTTTATTTCTTATAACGTCTTCAGTAAACACAATGTGGGTCAGTGCTGTGTCGAACCGTCTGACCTCAGACGCAGGAAGGTTAATCGCATCCTCTCTTGTGAACACTGAGGAAAAGAAGCTGTTCAATGCCTCATCTTTATCCTGGTCCGAATCTGCATAACTACCATCTTCAAGCCTCAGGTGTGATACTCCTACTCGCGTTTTCAATTTCGACTTTGCATAGCGGTAAAACACCTTTGGGTTTGACCCGACCTCACTTATAACCAGCCTCTGGAACTCCCTTTCAGCCCTTCTGCACTCTGCCTTTGCTTGGTTCCTGGCTCTTGCATACATCCTCCTGTCCTGCTCATCGTTTGACCTAACCCACGCCTTGAATTTCTGGGTGTTCTTTTTACATAGCTGTACTCTTAGAGTATATCATATGACATTGATCCTTAGAGGAATTTGTGTACCATCCATACTTCAATCTCTACACCTGTATCTTACTTATGACTGAGCTAGAAGAGTACAGGTGTAAGGGAGGAAGTAAACAAGTCTTATTTATTTAACTATCTAATAAATATGTGTAAGAGGTTTTCTTTATAATTCTTAATTTTTATTTATTTTCTGTTACCATAACTTGTATAACTTTTTCAATTTCCTTGGTTAAGTGTTCACTTGGGACATGAGACTTTCAACTATGTTAAGGCTGTTGTTTACAGTCTATTCAGTATTCGAGCTTGCACGGCAAGAGTGAAATTGACGTCAAACACACCAGGTGATAACGTCACTCTTACAACTTCTTCAAAAACTAGGACGATAAGTGACTGGCATGTTCTTTTAGGAGAATAATTACTCTCTAAAATATAGCACTGACAATAATTTCAATACAAACGTTAGATTCTCCGATGAGTGGGAATGAGAATGATCTAACTTCCATTGGAAACTCAGGGCGTACCCAAGGACGATGTCAGGCTTCGTCTCTTCGACTGGCAAACTCTACATTGAACTTATTTGACAATGTTACTGAAATTAAACACAGTTGAAGTTTTCAAAATCATTCCCAGAGGATCTTCAATGATTCATCTGTACTGTAAGCAGACATATCTAACTTAATTTAACACATACTCATTCAGTTGCAAATTCAAATTTCATAGCGTGACATGAGACACTAAGAAATATCAGTCTCGGTACTACTCGAGAGAAGACGGAGATCTCAGCTACTGAAGCGGTGAGAGAACGGACGTCTCAACTGGGGGACTCAATAATGAAGTTATAGCCACACGTTTTATCGGTTATTGAGCGAAATATGAATTGTCTGATTTTAAGTAAACTAACATGTACGACCGTGGTCAGTACACAGGGAGCTAAAAAATTACATCCTCCCAGTTTTTGATGACTACAGTATACCTACCTACTGTATACAGTATCGCGAAATACTGCAGTATACCCTGTACTTTAGCCTTCCGACACGCTCTCTGCGAAACTTTGAAACAGTTGGTGGACATACTTTAATTATACTGAAAATATAGTATTCTCCTGTGAAATATATCATTTACCATACTAACACTTTGGGATGCTTTGAACCATGATATGCTTCATGTTCCGTTTAATAAAAGCGTCTCGTCTCAGTCAGGTCTACCAACTGTTCGTACGTAGTCAAGGTAAGTCTTTAATTATGTTTCGCCAGCTTTAAAAAATCATCAGACTAAACTGGGAAGATAATTTTGCCACTGTTCAAAATGTACAGTCAACAGCAACAACAAAATCTGTACCCTTGAGTCTGAAGGCCTTCACAACGATCATCGACTGAGGCCATGTTCATTTGGTAAGGTTGGTACTTCCGATTGTGTGATGCATACAGACATAAACAGGAATTTGTTGACTGTACAGTGAAATGCTTCCTGTATTGATGACCCAGGATCTGTACCGATAATCCTGAATTGATATTATTAATGATGAGTAAAATGATATATCGATATTATAAAAGGTTAAGTATTAATTAAAATGAATATCCTGTTGGGTATCTGAATACAAACAAATGATCAGGTGTTGCAGTTTTAAGACGCGGAGGTGTGATTTAAAAAGAAACATTGTTAACCAGAGGAAAGTTCACCCGCCTTCTGTTTATACTGTGGCATGACTAATTGGGACGACGGAAGAGGCGGAGGAATGGACCAAAAAAAAAGATAGGAAAGTACAAGAAATACAACTTGCGGCTAAGGTGGGTAACTCAACGCTGCCATTATGGAGTAAAAATAGTAGACAACCAGGAGACACACACACACACACCCACACCCACACACACACACACACACACACACACACACACACACACACACCACACACACACACACACTGATTATATTCTACAGGTTAAATAATAAAGGAACAGAATATACCTGATTTAGCCCAGGAGGAGGAGGTAAGAGAATATATACAAGAAATAAAAGCTGGTGTGCTGTGAGGGATCCGCATGACCGTGTTATCACCAGTTACATGCACGGGATTATTGAGTAATGGCTGATATCACGATAACACAACCTGATTGATAGCCTATCTGGATACCTCCCTCAGAGTGGTGTTGGTCACCAGGTGTGCAATAACTAGTGTTGTGTTCTATCCTCTTGAAGGTATTGGTTCCCTGGTCCTCAAGCCTCCAAGGGATTTGCCTTAACTTCTACCTTAACTAATGATATGAGCATCTAACTGTTTGAAGTGACGTCAGTTTTGATTTGAGATTCTACCGTAACTTAGTGCGTTTTTCAGTCACACTTACGGGGAAATAATAAACGTTAAGAAACTTTGACAAACAATCATTTAAGACGTCTCAGAAAATTGTATACAAACTACCTTACATATTTTAGTGGATATCGCGTGTTCCAAACATTCACGCGAAATATACGAAAACGTATTAGGCCGTGTGTATACATTTTTCTGAGACAACCTATTGTCTGGGGTATGTTTTAAATACGTGCAAGTTACTCAGAGATTCAGTTCGATGACTCATGAATCTTTGAATCCGAGATCGGGACCGTTGTGTTGGTGAACCCATGGACCAAGGTCAGAGTGAAATATTACTGTGAAATAAATCGTATTGTGATAGAATTAGTACTGTGATAGAAATCGCACTCTGAAAGAAAGATATTCTGCTATGAAACTTCTATGAAAGAACTACCAGGATAGAAAAATCACAGTGAAAAAATTTCGATGAAACAAAGTACTAATGAAATAATGCTCTAAAAATAAATATGAAATTAATACCCTATTGTGATAAGTGAGGAATGTTCATTGATTGACGGATTAAGACGTTATCACCCCACCTGTGTTAGACCTGCAGACATAACACAAATTAGTATAGCTTGTTATTCAATATGATGATGAATTTCCCTTTTCCATTGAATTTGTTGATTTTCTTGGACTGGTGTTTAATATGTTATTCAAAGATCTTTATGCTAAGTGTATAATGTTTGCAATGTAAACAAGAGCTATTATACAGACAAAGGGCAGCCGAACGTTTGTGTGGCGTAGCTTCGGTAGGTGAGTCGCCAGGAGCTGTTGATTGCTCGTACTGACGTTGATTTCAAAGTGATGGATTTGTCGAGATTATAGTTTATTATGTGTACATGTAAGTCACTGTGGCACCTGGTGTTTACAGGATAGAGATGGTGTCCGTGAGTAAAGTGAACATCAATGGTGAATAATGTTGCAGGGCAGTGGTCCCCAATCTGTAGTTAGCGGACGAACCATATCATGGAGCCCACAAGGGTTCATTAGATAATTGTGAATTAGTTGGGAATCTTTGTAAGAATGAAATGAATGAAAATATATAATAACTTGATACAATTGTCGTGTACAGGACGTGTGTATTTACCCCAGACCGGCCCAGAGTAAGTCAGCCATCTCACTGGGGTAAATCCACACGTCCTGTCCAAGAGTATGTAACTGGCAACAGTTGGACGTGTAAAACTGCAAATAACTGTACAGTATATATGAGATATTTGTTTCTTGAATGTAGATCTAAGGTTTTGGCGCCCTCCACTATATTTACAATGATAAATGTGGCCCAGAACCTACAAAAGGTTGGGGGACCATTGCTGTAGTGTGCGTGAAGAGCTTTTATAGGAGTTCTTTAGTCTTAACACCTTCATTGCCGGGACGCCATCTTCACCCGATATTAAACTCTATATCATCTAATCATTACATTACTGCAGGCGAGAGTTAAGATATTGATTTGTCCTTTAGTGCACTTGTTGATAGATCGGTGACTAACACAGAGTATAACTAGGAATAAATGGACCACCTGAGGATTAGGCCCCCAGTTTATTTCACCTGAAGATTAACCACCCTAATGCTAACCTAATCTAAATTCATCTATTTTAATCCCTCCTGGTAGCACTAGGATGTTTAGTCACAGGGTGAAATAACCTGGATGTCAAATCATTAGGTAATCAGATGAAGTTTGTAGTAGGTGTCCAACACGTGTAGTACAACTAAGACTGTATCTTCCTACATCACGACAGACTGTAAATTCTCAGCTATATACAGTAGGTTACCCGGACACAGACTGCTGCTCTGGCATACCATTGTTGAGGCTATCTTATCAGGGGTATGTTGTTATCGACGTTGTGTGAGTGGTGTGGGGAGGGAGGCGAGTCGTGTTGCCCAGGAACTTCTATACTGGAGTTATTTCAACCTACTGAATATGTGATACGAGGTAGTGGGTCTAAACAACACAGAGCCACCTAACTAAACCTTGAGTCCTCGGAGGTACATTACTGCAGGTCTGGGGGGAGGAGGTATATACTGCAGGTCTGGGGGGAGGAGGTATATACTGCAGGTCTGGGGGGGGAGGGAGGCATACTGCAGGTCTGGGGGAGGAGGTATATACTGCAGGTCTGGGGGAGGAGGTATACCACTGGTCTGGGGGAGGAGGTATATACTGCAGGTCTGGGGGGGAGAGGTATATACTGCAGGTCTGGGGGGGGAGGAGGTATATATACTGCAGGTACTGGGGGGGAGGAGGTATATACTGCAGGTCTGGGGAGGAGGTATATACTGCAGGTCTGGGGGAGGAGGTATACTGCAGGTCTGGGGAGGAGGGAGGGATATCTGCAGGTCTGGGGGGGAGGATATACTGCAGGTCTGGGGGGAGGAGGTATATACTGCAGGTCTGGGGGAGGAGGTATATACTGCAGGTCTGGGGGGAGGGGATACTGCAGGTCTGGGGGAGGAGGTATACTGCAGGTCTGGGGGAGGAGGTATATACTGCAGGTCTAGGTATACTGCAGGTCTGGAGGGGGAGGTATATACTGCAGGTCTGGGGAGGAGGTATATACTGCAGGTCTGGGGGGAGGAGGTATATACTGCAGGTCTGGGGGGAGGAGGTATATACTGCAGGTCTGGGGGAGGAGGTATATACTGCAGGTCTGGGGGGAGGAGGGTATATACTGCAGGTCTGGGGAGGAGGTATACTGCAGGTCTGGGGAGGAGGGGCAGGTCTGGGGGGAGGAGGTATATACTGCAGGTCTGGGGGAGGAGGGTACATACTGCAGGTCTGGGGGAGGAGGTACATACTGCAGGTCTGGGGGGAGGAGGTATATACTGCAGGTCTGGGGGAGGGAGGTATATACTGCAGGTCTGGGGAGGAGGTATATACTGCAGGTCTGGGGGGAGGGGTATATACTGCAGGTCTGGGGGGAGGAGGTATATACTGCAGGTCTGGGGGAGGAGGTATATACTGCAGGTCTGGGGGGAGGAGGTATACTGTCTGGGGGGAGGAGGTATATACTGCAGGCAGGTCTGGTCTGGGGGAGGAGGTATATACTGCAGGTCTGGGGGAGGGAGGTATATACTGCAGGTCTGGGGGGAGGAGGTATACCACTGCAGGTCTGGGGGGAGGAGGTATACCACTGCCCATATCATCAAGCGACACACTAACAAAAATATGATAATATTTATTAATTCAACGTCTTTTTTTTAAATATTTTATGTGTGTTTGAGAAGAAAACATTGAATAATTTTTAGACATTTATTCTAGATAACGTGAAGATTAGACGTCCCCATTAGGTTCCAGTCTATACTCAGCTGAAATATTTTATTGTTTATGTTTTATTATATGTAAAATGCAATTTATTTTTTCAGAATATCACAGAACAAAGTGTACAGAAGTGTGGCAAAGTACTGTACAGTCAAACAGGAAACAGTACTATCATAAAACAACAGAAAACGGTAACACTGATCTCTTGACGACAAGATTCTCACTCGACAGTAAGAACGTGACAGCAAGAATAAACTGGAAGTAAGGAACGACAGACACTAAGACAGAGAAGGTACACAGACTGTATCTTAATATCAACAACACAGACAAAACACCGAAAAGACACAACGACGAACATACTACACAGACAACAACTTAAAGGCACCACAGACACAAAAAAGACTAACCATAAACATAACACAGACACCAAGTACCGAACAGAAAGACAACCATATAGACACAGACAAGGACTGAACGACGCTAAGGACACACACAGGCACACACACACAGACACACACAGACACACACACAGACACACACCCATTCCCCAAATATGTAACTGTATATTTTCAGCCTTCTGGCTGCCAAGCTCTTTCAATAAACCGTTAATTATTATTATTATTATTATTACAGACACGCACAGACACCAACACAGAGGGCATCACAGACCACAGACGAGGGTAATTCAACATGGGAGGTAAACCAAGTAAAAAGAAGCTGGTACCTAACAGACCGCCGCCTAAGACACCAGCGATGGGTCCTCTCCCTACCAGGATGGTGGCCAAGACCAAGAGGAACTTGGTGCCTCCTGACGGTGGATGGGGGTGGATGGTGGTACTCGGGGCTTGTATAACTGTGGTGAGTACATAGAGAGTACATAGATAGATAGATTATATCTATTATATGTCAATGAGAGAGAGAGAGAGAGAGAGAGAGAGAGAGAGAGAGAGAGAGATAATGCTCTCTTAATACGATATATTACAGGTGTGACAAATTATATTGTAAGGTAAGAGAAATATCTAAAACCTTAATGAGATAAAAGTGTGTTACTTGTTACTGAACATTATGTACGGTATTTTGTTTTAAAGGCGCTGAAGAAAGCACTGGACGTCACCCACTTAACTATGCATACAAGGTCATCTGTTAGTGAGGTCTGTTGTGTGAGACCGTCGATGTTATCCCGAGTGGAGACACGTGGAGTATAAGATCTAGGGACGTGTTTTTTTTCTTTTTCTGAGATAAAATCATCAACGGATAATAAAAAAAATAGTTTGAGCTAGTACGGAGACCTGAAGTACCTCGTAACTGATAGTGTTAGTCAGATGAAATATTGTTCATACCTACACGCACTCAGACAAGATAATCCTTAACAATAAGTCTGTAATATTGTTAGCAGTCACCATGACAAATAAATGTCATACAGAACAAAAGTTTACGATAAAGTTAACCTTCAAGCGTCAGTCTCAGTAGATTAGCTCGAGGGGCGAAATAAGTTCATGTGTGACTGATCACTTCAGTTGTTGCCACAAATAGGACTGTTGTAATCAACCTGTGATGTCCATGATGAAATCCGCCATTAATCTCTCATATCATACCAAAACCAAACACTTCAGGTATGTCACATCACTGGCGAAACTCCTCGAAAACCAGATAATTATGTTCTCTTCTCCCAGCAGATGAAAAGATAATGCAGAAACCTTGGAGAATCCTGACCATGATTAAAAATGTCTTGTATAGTTGTTATAGTTATTGGTGATTATATTATGAAGACAATATATTGTGTACTTACTTTATGTAGTAGGTAGTTGGCAGCTACCAAACAGGGAGGTACTACCGCCTGGGAAGATATTGGAAGCATAATGTGTTGTCTAATGGTAGACCCTGCTGCCATATGGCATCACGAAAATTGTGACCAAGTCCCAGGTTGCTGATCTGACTTTCTGCCTCATTTACACTCAATTACAGGGCCTCAATTGTTTCTCTTACTATTGACAACATAACATATATCGTTTCTCACTTTTGATCTTTTTTGTATTTGTTTATGGTTCTTTATTACTATTATTATTATTATTATTATTACATTTTCGCCCCCCAGGCCCTGGTGTGGGTCAGTGACCTGTGCCTGGGTGGGCTAATCCCTGTAAAAAAAAAATAAAAAATAAATAAATAAAAAATGTGTATGTTTGGAGGTTTCGCTACTGAAGTATATCCTTCATCTTACAATATAGTGATTTTTCTCTCGCTTGGAATCTCAGATTTACCGCGGCTGTGACATCCTTGACCACCGAAGGGTCAAGACGTACCTGGCGCTCCTCTCGGAGCAGCCAGGTCAACTGTTAAGTTGGCCCATACCAACCCCCTCCCCTGAACCCTCCTCCCCACCGGAATATCAACAAGTTCTCGCCAGAAGTTACAATTCTATTTAGGAAAGGAACGAAACCAGTGTTAAACAGAGGTGAACAGTGCTTAAGTCAGTGAGAACAACTCAACAGTAACAGTCGTAGCCAAGTTAACCTTCACACAGTGAGGTCCCAGGTACCCAGTGATAACGGCCCGACCCAACAACAACCACCGATGTGTTAATCTGTCTACGATAGGAAGGCCTAAGACCAAACCTCACTCATATAACACCATCAGTGAGGGAATTACTACACCACATGTCCCTCATAACACCATATGTGAGGGAATTACTACACCACATGTCCCTCATAACACCATATGTGAGGGAATTACTACACCACGTCAAGTCCCTCATCACACCATCTGTGAGGGAATTACTACACCACGTGAGGTCCCTCATAACACCATCTGTGAGGGAATTACTACACCACGTTACTACACTACACCACGTGAGGCCCCTCATAACACCATCTGTGAGGTAATTACTACACCACGTGAGGTCCCTCATAACACCATCTGTGAGGTAATTACTACACCACGTGAGGTCCCTCATAACACCATCTGTGAGGGAATTACTACACCACGTGAGGCCCCTCATAACACCATCTGTGAGGGAATTACTACACCACGTGAGGTCCCTCATAACACCCCCTCATAACACCATCTACACCACGTGAGGTCCTCATAACACCATCTGTGAGGTAATTACTACACCACGTGAGGTCCCTCATAACACCATCTGTGAGGTAATTACTACACCACGTGAGGTCCCTCATAACACCATCTGTGAGGTAATTACTACACCACGTGATGCCCTCATAACACCATCTGTGAGGTAATTACTACACCACGTCCCTCATAACACCATCTGTGAGGGAATTACTACACCACGTGAGCCCCTCATAACACCATCTGTGAGGTAATTACTACACCACGTGAGGCTACCCACGTCATAACACCATCTGTGAGGGAATTACTACACCACGTGAGGCCCCTCATAACACCATCTGTGAGGGAATTACTACACCACGTGAGGCCCTCATAACACCATCTGTGAGGTAATTACTACACCACGTGAGGTCCCTCATGACACCATCTGTGAGGTAATTACTACACCACGTGAGGTCCCTCATAACACCATCTGCGAGGGAATTACTACACCACGCCAGGTCCTTCATAACACCATCTGAGGGAACTACTACACCACGTGAGTTCCTCCTAACACCATCTGGGAGGGAGTTACTACACTACGAGATTGCTGTTTAACACCTACATTAATCTGTATGTTCACTGTATGTTCCTTTACCTTTCTCTAATGAAGGCTTTGTTAAACCACCAATGTATGTAATAAGTCATTTATGTCCAATGTATATTTTCAGCCTTCGGGCTGCAGAATTTTTTCAATAAACCGTTAATTATTATTACGACCACCAGCACATCCTCCACACATTCCCCTCTAACTCCCCTCATTCTCACATAACGACCTGCACCACATCTCTTCTGTGTCCACTTGACGACAAGAGCTTCCTCACTAAAAACATCCCACCCACCCCTGACAGTTCTTCTTCCCGGCGGTGACCATGGCGTTTGGGGTGCTGTTCAGTGAGAAGCTGGAGATCATGGGCGCCGGGGCCACAGCCTTCACACTAATCGGCAACGGCCTCAGCACCTCCTGGAGTTTCACCGGTAAGGTGCTGGTGAGGAAGAGTGGGGGGTGGAGGGGGTCATGTATGCTTGTAGGTGTGGGCGACTGCAGGTATGTCGGTAGGCAGGGAACCTTTACCAATAAAGCCCCCCCCCCAATTATCGGCGGTTCCGTTTTCATGGCCGACCCTTAACATTTTTTGGAACCATTATGAATTTATCTCATATTCTGCTGTAAAAGAAAAAAATATACATTAGAATAGGCAACTACACATGGGCGCGGAAATCTTGAATCTGGCAAGACTGAATGAGCAGTTACAAGAGAAACTTGGTGCCTCTGTTCATGACATATAGTTTGACGAGTGTACACACATACACACACACACACATACATAAATAAATATTCTCGCATGTGTGGGCGTTCAAATATCTTTTACGTCAATTTTCAATGAATATCTTCCTGAAGATTCAACAAAAACAGGTATCAAAATCCACATATCACAACCTGTATCGGTAAAACAAAACAAAAAACATATAACTGTCACAAACCGAATACTTTATCTACTTATCTTCCCTAAAAATGTTCAGATCATGTAAAAGTAACCACAAGTGTTTTGGCTTAAGTCTCGAGTATAAAACATTGACCTTGAACTACCACGAGGATGACAATGTGGGACTGAAGGCCGCTGCTGCAGGGAGTGTGCCTAATACACTGACGTTACTAACACCATCATTCCTGGTGGTTTATTTCCAGCACTGTTGACGGCGCCGCTGTTAGAGCTGTTCGGGTACCGCACCATAACCATCACGGGGGGTCTGATGTCCTTCCTCACTATGGTGTTATGCGCCTACAGCACCAGCATCGTCTCCTTCGCCCTCTCTTACTCCATCGTCGGCGGTGCGTCTTGTGTTGTCAGTCGTTCCTTCCCGTCTTCTTTTTCCTCCTCTACCTAACCTTTTCTTGCCTTCTTCCCCCTCCCCTGTCTCTTCCTTCCTCCTCCTGTCTCTTCCCTCTTTCCTTCCCCCTTCTTCCTCCTTTTCTACCTATTCATTCATTTCTCATTCCCCAGACCATTTGAAGTTCCCATGACCATTAATAGTTCTCCCATAACCACGACTAATCACAGTGCCCACGACTAATCACAGTGCTCATGACCCATCACAGTACCCACGACTAATCACAGTGCCCACGACTAAATCACAGTGCCCACGACTAATCACAGTGCCCACGACTAATCACAGTGCTGACTACAGTGCCCTGACTAATCACAGCCCACGACTAATCACAGTGCCCACGACTAATCACAGTGCCCATGACTAATCACAGTGCCCATGACTAGGTGCCCGTGTTAATCACAGTGCCCGTGACTAATCACATCATTACCAAGTACTTCAACCATCGTAAAGGACTGGCCAATGGGATGGTCTCTTCTGCCGCTTCGTGGGTGAGTTGTTACACCACCGGTACTCTTTCAACCATCGTAAAGGACTGGCCAATGGGATGGTCTCTTCTGCCGCTTCACTGGGTGAGTTGTTACACCACCGGTACCCCAACCTAGTGCCAATAGAACGGTACCCTAACCTAGTGCCAATAGAACGGTACCCTAACCTAGTTCCAATATAACGGTACCCTAACCTAGTGCCAATATAACGGTACCCTAACCTAGTTCCAATATAACGGTACCCTAACCTAGTTCCAATATAACGGTACCCTAACCTAGTTCCAATATAACGGTACCCTAACCTAGTTCCAATATAACAGTACCCTAACCTAGTTCCAATATAACGGTACCCTAACCTAGTGCCAATAGAACGGTACCCTAACCTAGTGCCAATAGAACGGTACCCTAACCTAGTGCCAATAGACAGTACCCCTAACAAGTGCCAATATAGCAGTTTCTAACCTAGTGCCAATATAACGGTACCTAACCTGGTACCAATATAACGGTACTAACCTACTGCCAATATAACGGTGCCCTAACCTAGTGCCAATAGAGGTACCCCTAACCTGAGTGCCAATAGAACGGTACCCTAACCTAGTGCCAATAGCAGTACCCTAACCTGAGTGCCAATATACCCTAACCTAGTGCCAATATAACGGTGCCTAACCTAGTGCCAATATAACGGTACCCTAACCTGGTGCCAATATAACGGTACCCTAACCTAGTGCCAATATAACGGTACCTAACCTAGTGCCAATATAACGGTACCCTAACCTAGTGCAATATAACACCTAACCTAGTGCCAATATAACGGTACTAACCTAATTGCCAATATATGGTACCTAACCTAGTAATATAACGGTGTGCCAATATAATAAGCCAAACCTGAATACCGAACCTAGTGCCCCTAATAGTGCCAATAGAACGGTACCCTAACCTAGTGCCAATAGAACGGTACCCTAACCTAGTGCCAATAGAACGGTACCCTAACCTAGTGCCAATATAACGGTACCCTAACCTAGTGCCAATAGAACGGTACTACAGTATATATATCATCGCCTATAAAAACATTTATGAGATAAAAACACAACGAAATTTTTATTGATTAGTTGACTTTGGTTCATTTTCACCTCACCCTCACTCATCTTCCCTTAACACATATCCATCTCAATATAGCTCATCTCACCCTCCCTCCCTCCCTCCCATGCGCCTTCCCTTGGTTTTACCCATACCCAGATCACTTACACCCATTTCCACCTTCCTGTCTATGTCATCCCAAAATCACCCATTTCTGCCACTACTTTCACCCATTTCCCCCTTAACTACACGTATTTAACCCTTGTGTGTATGTTTGTGTCCCTGCAGGTAAAATCGGTACGGCTCCTCTGGTTCGCCTTCTGTTGGACAATTACGGGTACACCTGGTCCTGTCTCCTGGTCGGGGCGCTCTCCCTCCACACCTGCATCGCCGGTATGCTCTATCAACCCCCGGAGTGGCACCTGGTGAGTCCTGACACTTTGGATGGTAGGTGACACATGGCAAGTTCTGACACATAGGACCTCTATGGGAAAATACATTAGTATTATTTTAGTTTCGGTCATCCGGGGAATCTTAGGAATTTACCCCCCCCCCCCGCTCGGTTAGGTTAGATATAGTTCCTGGGACCCATTTTTCACCTCAGTAATGGTCGTCTTATTATTAGTTATTGTTGTTAATAATAATAATATCATCATCATCATTATTATTGTTCTTGTACAGTATATAGGTAAAATTTCATCATTTTAAGTAAAGTTAATGTAATCCACAATTAATTACTATTACACAGATACCTGAGCCACGAGACCCAGAAGATGATGACGTGAGGCTAGAGGATGTGCCGGCACCCATAACCTCCGTGGCCATCACCGACAACGGGCTGGTGGAGCAAAACGGTAACCCTCCGGCGAGTGGTGCCCCTGCGAAGACGACGACAGACGACGATGACGACGACATCATATTCGTCATGCCTACAACCCCCACGACTGTCAACCCCCCGGGGAAAGACGACGAGGTGATCCTGTTTTCGCGGGTCAAAGACTTACGGGAGAAAACCAACATCGAGGACAACAAACTACCGTTGGCTCTAAGGGACTCCAAGTGGTCACTATCGGGGTCTATCCCTCTGTTACCTGTTGGTGACCAAAAGTTGTTCTGCAGTGACGACGATGATGACCAGGACGACTGCTGCAACGACTGTCTCGTCGTCAAGGTGAGAAACACTGACGAGTCCACCTGTGTTACTGATTCATCCACTTGTTATTCGGACCCACACAGCAATAGTATACAGTAATTCCAGGTAGGAGACAAATGTATGACAGAGGAAATGTAAAGTAAGGAAGAGAATTTTTACCTTCATTTTTTCCGTCTGAAATTTCATTAACCAGTCTCCTCTAGAGGTGTTCAGGGTGTTGAACTTCTCCTTTCGATAGTCACACACAGTCTGTTTGTCCGTCTATACTTCTCTCTTCCCCGTCACTCTCTCTCTAATCTCACACAAGCCATCCTCCCCACAGGTGTTCAGGATGCTCAACTACTCGTTACTAAAACAGCCTCACTTTCACCTGGTTGCGTGGGCCAACGCGCTGAGCCTCCTGGGTTACATCAACACCTTGTACGCCCTCCCAGGTTACGTCTCCAGCCTGGGCTACACCCCTTACCAGAGCGCCTTCGCCATCTCCTCCTTCAGTGCTACAGAGGTCAGTAAGATGTCCTATACCGGACAATTTCCGACCCAGACAAAATCCCACATCACACTACAACCGCCATCCAACTTTCGTCAGATAGTTGGCAATAACGTTATGTTTGGTGACCAAAATGTAATCTGTTACTTCTACCAAGTCATCTTAATATAACATAACATTAATAAATACATTACTGCTAATGCTCCCAACACCTCCGCCACTGTACCGTGTATTGTCCAGTGTTTGTATACGAATATACCTCTACATTTATCTCCCACAACGTTAATGGGGTGGTAGCACCAGCTGCCTGTACAGGTGGTGCACTACTAACAGCTTCACTCCCTCCCTCAGGCAGTGTTCCGGCTGATATTCGCTGGATTATCTGATTACTCCTGGTTCCCCATCGAGTTGGTTTATACCATCGGCTTTACCCTCTCTGCCCTCTTTTGTGGATGTAAGTACAGTACTCTCTTGATGTCATGGGATGTAATTTGAGAGGGACTTTAGGTGCAATCTGAGACCATGAAATACCTCTACAACAACCTCTCCCGATGCCACATAATCCAGTATTCGTTACATATAAATCTTTTAAGTTTCAGTGTAATCATCTCGTCTTATCGATTATTTCTGTTTATTCTGACGACCCTCCCTCTTCCTCCCTGTGCAGTATTGCCGGTGTCCTCGTCGTATAACTGGGTGATGCTGTGCGTGGCTGTGAACGGGATATCTAACAGCGTTAGCGTCGTGCTGTTCATCCATATGATCATCAAGTACCTTGGGGTCGACCAGTACTCCCAAGTGTTCAGCTTCGTATTTATGTTTAACGGAGCCGTCATCGTTGTAGGTGGCTTTTTGCTAGGTAAGAGAGAGAGAGAGAGAGAGAGAGAGAGAGAGAGAGAGAGAGAGAGAGAACACGCAAATAATACAAGTCAGATAAATCATAAATCCCAAAACCCGTATTAACCCTAACCACCACTTCAACTAACAGGACCTTGTGTTCCTCCGCCACAGGTCTGGTGAGGGACTACTTTGAGAGCTACATCGCCACTTTCCTCTGTATCAGTGCTCTCTATTCCACGGCGGCGGCTATATGGTGGTCAAGACGATGCTTGAAGATTATAAAGAACAGGTATAAGAAAGTTCCCGTCCACACGCAGTAGGTCGAGTTATGTCCCTACACATCAAGGTTCCCCTCCACTTGTAGCAGAGGAAGTCCAGGTGATAATAAGTCCTTTAAACATGTGCTAGATGACCTAAATAACGTCTTCAAGCAACTAATATCTCACTCGGAAGAACGAGAGATACCCAGCCAAGTCCAACGACAAGTGTCCATCCAGATTGGTTAAGAAAGCCCATATCATAACCTAACCTAAGCTAACCCGACCCAACCTATACTAACCAAAACCCAACCTATATTAACCCAACCCATATATATATATATATATATATATATATATATATATATATATATATATATATATATATATATATATATATATATATATATTATATATATATACACAGTATATATATATTTCATGTAAATCACAATGAAAACGTGGATAAGATAAATCTTGATAAAAATATAAAATATATATATATATATATATATATATATATATATATATATATATATATATATATATATATAAACTGTGTATATAAAATGTTTCTAATTTGTAATACCTACAAAATTTACATTAATATTTTTCATCCAGAAAACCGGAATCCTTTAATTTGGTAAAATAAACATTAATAAATTCACAAACGTATATTCTATTTTGTTTGATAAAGTTGTGTTTAACTAACATAAGAACATAAGACAATAAGGAGTCTGCAATAGGCCGGTTGGCCTGTGCATACGTGGCTCACCGTCTTGTAGGAATAGTTGTTATAATATACATGTACAGTACATGATCTATCTATATGTAAATATTATGTTGATTAACCAACACTACCGAATATAAAAACATACAATATTTAAAACTCAAATTATGACGAAAAAATAAATTTTGATTAAAAACAAAGCAAATGTACAGATCTTTATCATAGACAAATTAAAAATTGCATTATCAAATATTTGTAATATAATGTGTTTCAGTATCCTCTGGTCCCCACACTACCCTGGCAACAAGACACTGGTCGCTGTGCACTACCTTTAAACTCCTCCTAAAACCTAACATCTCCACACATGTTGACTAAACAAATATCTATTAAAACCCTCGCCATAAAACACTTAAGTATCCTCTACACTGTTATAAACAACTTCAGACCACACACACATTCATCACATACTGGCTTATTAGCCATTCATGCGGTTGGTACTTGGCAACAGTTCGTAGCAGAGACGACCGACCGCCCATGTGGCTAACGAGCTTACCAGTGGCGGAAAAAAAGCCTTAGTGTTTAGTATTGTTGTTCCCTGTACTGTCTCGGCACACAGGTAACTGTGTACACCCACGTCCTACGTCCACTGTTTACCTACACTTGTCTTTATTCATTATGAACTGTACAGCTGCATAGTTTATAAACATGTTAACCTAATTGTAATCCTGTATGACAATCTTACTGAATATACTGTATATTATTATTAAAATGTACCAGCGAGGAAGCTGCCCAAGTATATTATTATAGTTATCCATAAACCATTTTCTATGTAAAACTCCGTAGAGAAAAATACTTTTAAATATTAGCATAACTATAGAGTATTTGTTTAACTTTACTAAGTGTAATACTTGCGGAAGACACTACTGACGCTTCACAAATATACTAAATTATATTGTTAAGGAATACCACCGTATTAATGGGGTATGTGCTGAAATTTCTCACATGGGTGATGTACAAATGCTTCCAGTTCTTGTTTTTAGTTCGTCAGGGTCATGTTGTGGAGGAACGTCATAACACAGAAGACCTGTTCCAGCAGGACTGAATGAATGAGATGGAATAAATTGGATGACCCATGCATGTTGTTGATCCAGGCCATCCTACAGCATAATGGTAAACTGTTCTACAGACCGGAAAACTATATCTAACGCCTACAAACATTATCCCATGTGGTCTAGTGGCTAGGATACCTGGCTTTCACCCAGGAGGCCCGGGTTCGATTCCCGGCATGGGAATTATTTTAGGAATTGACGCTACAGCGGTAACGAGCGTATCCGTTACCCTGAAAATAATGTCTTTCAGTTGATGAATCTTAATAATAATGACACTAATAATAATAAGTGACGATCGACGGGACAAGACGGAGGATGAAACCAAGACAACTGTAAGAGCTGATGCACTCGGTGACCAGAGGGTACAGTGGTCACACCTGGTACTGGTATAACTCCACCACCATCAGGTAACACTAAAACCACGCCAGCTAACACTAGTACTACACCAGGTAACACAGGTGCCACACCAGGTAACACTAGTACCACACCAGGTAACACTAGTACCACACCAGGTAACACTAGTACCACACCAGGTAACACTAGTGCCACACCAGGTAACACTAGTACCACACCAGGTAACACTAGTGCCACACCAGGTAACACTAGTACCACACCAGGTAACACTAGTACCACACCACTAGTACCACACCAGGTAACACTAGTACCACACCAGGTAACACTAGTGCCACACCAGGTAACACTAGTGCCACACCAGGTACACTAGTACACTAACACTAGTACCACACCAGGTAACACTATTGCCACACCAGGTAACACTAGTACCACACCAGGAAACACTAGTACTACAACAGGTAACACTAGTACTACACCAGGTAACACTAGTACTACACCAGGTAACACAGGTGCCAACACCAGGTAACACTAGTACCACATCAGGTAACACTAGTACCACATCAGGTAACACTAGTGCCACACCAGGTAACACTAGTACCACACCAGGTAACACTAGTACCACACCAGGTAACACTAGTGCCACACCAGGTAACACTAGTACCACACCAGGAAACACTAGTACTACAACAGGTAACACTAGTACTACACCAGGTAACACTAGTACCACACCAGGTAACACTAGTACCACACCAGGTAACACTAGTACCACATCAGGTAACACTAGTACCACACCAGGTAACACTAGTGCCACACCAGGCAACACTAGTACCACACCAGGTAACACTAGTACCACACCAGGTAACACTAGTACTACACCAGGTAACACAGGTGCCACAGGCAACACTAGTACCACACCAGGTAACACTAGTACCACACCAGGTAACACTAGTGCCACACCAGGTACACTAGTACCACACTGGTAACAGCCACACCAGGTAACACTAGTACCACACCAGGAAACACTAGTCCTACAACAGGTAACACTAAAACTACGCAGGTAACACTAGTACTACACCAGGTAACAGGTGCCACACCAGGTAACATTAGTACCACATCAGGTAACAATAGTACTACACCAGGTAATACTAGTACTACACCAGGTAACACTAGTACCACACCAGGTAACACTAGTACTACACCAGGTAACACTAGTACTACAACAGGTAACACTAGTACCACACCAGGTAACACTTGTGCCACACCAGGTAACACTAGTATTACACCCGGTAACACTAGTACTACACCAGGTAACACTAGTACTACACCAGGTAACACTAGCGCCACACCAGGTAACACTAATGCCACACCAGGTAACACTAGTGCCACACCAGGAAACACTAGTATTACACCCGGTAACACTAGTACTACACCAGGCAACACTAGTACTGAATTAGGCAACACTATGCCACACCAGGTAACACTAGTACCACATCAGGTTAACACTAGTAATACACCAGGTAACACTAGTACTACACCAGGTACCAGCCACACCACAGGTAACACTAGTACTACACCAGGCAGTCACTAGTACTACAACAGGTAACACTAGTACCACAATTAAAATAGTGCCACACCAGGTAACACTAGTATTACACAAGCACCCGGTAACACTAGTACTACACCAGGTAACACTAGTACTACACCAGGTAAATACCATGCCACATTCAGGTAAATACTAGTGCCACACTAGGAAACACTAGTATTACACCCGGTAACACTAGTACTACAATTGCAACACTAGTACTACACCAGGTAACACACGCCACACTCAGGTAACACTAGTGCCACACTAGGTAACACTAGTACACCAGGTACTCATATTGGGCAACAGGTAAACACTAGTGCCACACCAGGTAACAGCTCACACCAGGTAACACTAGTACTACACCAGGTAACACTAGTACTACAACAGGTAACACTAGTACCACACCAGGTAACACTAGTACCACACCAGGTAACACTAGTACTACACCAGGTAACACTAATACCACACCAGGTAACACTAGTACCACACCAGGTAACACTAGTACTACACCAGGTAATACTAGTACCACACCAGGTAACACTAGTACCACACCAGGTAACACTAGTACTACACCAGGTAATACTAGTACCACACCAGGTAACACTAGTACCACACCAGGTAACACTAGTATTACACCAGGTAACACTATACCACATCAGGCAACACTAGTGCCACACCAGGTGCCAGTAGTACCACACCAGGTAACACTAGTGCCACAACGGGCAACACTCAGTACCACACCAGGTAACACTAGTACCACACCCAAAAATACTAAAAACCACGCCAGGTAACACTAGTACTACACCAGGTAACACTAGTACCACACCAGGTAACACTAGTACCACTCCATGTAACACTAGTACTCACACCAGGTAACACTAAACCACGCCAGGTAACACTAGTACCACACCAGGTAACACTCAGTGGGCTCACCCATGTAACACTAGTACTACACCAGGTAACATCAAAACCAATAACTACAGGTAACACTAAAACCACGCCAGGTAACACTAGTACTACACCAAGTAACACTAGTACCACACCAGGTAACACTAGTACCACACCATGTAACACTAGTACTACACCAGGTAACACTAAAACCACGCCAGGTAACACTAGTGCCACACCAGGTAACACTAGTACTACAACAGGTAACACTAGTACTACACCAGGTAACACTAGTACCTTACCAGGTAACACTAGTGCCACACCAGGTAACACTAGTACCACAACAGGTAACACTAGTACCACACCAGGTAACACTAGTACCACACCAGGTAACACTAGTGGTAACACTAGTACCACACAGGTAACACTAGTACCACTACCCACACCAGGTAACACTAGTACCACACCAGGTAACACTAGTACCACACCAGGTAACACTAGTACCACACCAGGTAACACTAGTACCACTCCAGGTAACACTAGTACTACACCAGGTAACACTAGTGCCACAACGGGTAACACTAGTACCACACCAGGTAACACTAGTACCACACCAGGTAACACTAGTACCACACCAGGTAACACTAGTACCACACCAGGT